TTTTCTTTTCCCTTCCTTCCTTTCCCCTTCTCTCCTTCCCCTTCCCATTGAACATTTTCTTCCTATCTCACAGTATCTATCACACATTTTTGCCCTTGTATACACTTTAGATTTCTCTCACCAGATAAACAATGTGGCATTTACAAATGTGTGTGATTTCATTCACTTACAAAAATGGCATCAAGGTGCATCCATCTAGAAATGTCTCAAGCTTATCTTTCTTTATGGCAGAGTAGTACTCCATTGTATAAAAAAATGCACATCTTTATCCATTCATCAGTTGATGGGCATTTGGGTTGTTTCCAAGATTTAGTTATTACAAACTGTGCCACTATAAACATGGGTGTGCATATATCACAGAGGTATAATGCTTTTAATTCTCTCAGAAAGATAGCAAGATGAGGAATAGCTGGGTCAAATGGATCCTCTAGTCCTAGTTTTTGAGGAATCTTCACAATGATTTCCATAGTGGTTGCACAAGTGTAAACTTCTACCAACAGCAGAGAATGGTTTTTTTCCCCACAGCCCCTTCAGCATTTATTGGTTGACTTCTAGATAATAGCCATTATCTCTGGGGTAAGACGGAATCTCACTGTTCTTTTAATTTGCATTTCTCAAATGACCAATGATGTCCAACATTTTTTCATATATTTATTTTCTGTTTCTACTTCTTCATCTGAGAAGTGGACTTCAGATGCTCACTTTTGGATTGGGTCTTTAACTTTGGGGGTGGTCTATTCTTTTTGAGTTCCTTATATGTTCTAGATATTAGTCTTTTATCTGAGGATCAATTGGCAATATTTTCCCCAAACTATGGGTTGTCTCTTCACTCTGTTAGTGGTTTTTTTTGTGCTGTGCAAATGCTTTTTTAATAAGAGGAGATCCCAGATGTTGTTTACTTGTGACAGTTCCTGTGCAATCAGAGTTTTTTGCATACCATATAAAAAGTGCAGACAGCTATATCAAGCAAAGGTTAATGGACATGTAGTTCTCATCCTTGGCTCTGTAAATATGGTGTGTTACATTTATTGATTTGCATATGTTGAACCATCGTTGCATCCCTGGAATGACTCCTACTTCATCATGGTGTCTAATTTTCTTGATAATTTGCTGCATTCTGTTTCTCAGTATCTTATTGAAGATTTTTGCATCAATGTTCATTAAGTAGATTGGCCTATAGTTTTGTTTCTTTCTTAGGTCCTTCTCCTGTTTTGATATTATCAGGTTAACACTTGCCTCCAGGAATGAATTTCAAAGTGTTAATTCCCTTTAAATTTCATTAAAGAGTTTGACAAATACAAGTATTAGGTATTTTCCAAATTTCTTATAGAATTCAGCAATGAATCTGTCAGAGCCAAGGCTTTTCTTTGTTAGTATGATTATAATCAATTCTTCAATTTCATTGACTCATATTGGTTTACTTAGGATTTCTTATATCTTCTTCTTCAGCTTTGGTAATTCATACATATGTAGGAACCTATGTATCTCCTCTGCATTTTTTTCTTATTATAAAACAAGTTCTCAAAGTAGATGTAGATTATTTTCTGGATATCAACAGGATATATTGTGAGTTCACTCTTCTTACTGCTTATTGCATGCATCTGAGTCTTTTCTTTCCTTATTTGATAAGGTTACATAAGGCTTGGTTGATTTTATTCAGTCTTTCAAAGAATCAAGTATTTGATTCATTGATTCTTTGTATTGTTTTACTTGTCTCAATTTCACTAACTTCTGTTCTGATTTTAGTTTAATAGTTTCCTCTCTCATATTAGCTTTAGGCTTAACTTGTTCTTTTTGTAGAAACTTAAAGTTCAACATTAAGTTGTTTCTTTGAGCTTGCTCTGTTTTCCTGGTATGGGTATTCACTGCTGTAAATTTGCCTCATAAGACTGCTTGCATTGTGTCCTAGAAATTCAAGTATATTGTTTTAACATTATTTTTTTATTGTAGAAACTGTCTAACCTGTTTTCTAACTTCAGTTGTGGCACATCGGTTTTTCAGGAAGTTGTTATTTAATTTTCATTTGTTTATGAACAAATGTGGTTTCTTTTGCCATTGATTTCCAATTTCATTGCATTATGGTCTGATAATATGCATGGGATATTTTCAATTCTTTTGAATTTACTTAAACATGTTCTATGAGCTAATATGTCATCTATTTTGAAGAGCTCCTATGTGCAGCTGAATGTGTATTCTGATGTTCTAGGGCAGAACACTCTATAGATATGTACTATGTTAATTTGTTCAAAAGGTTGGCTCAGTTCTACTATTTCTTTTTTTGTCTAATTGTTCAATTTGTGACAGTGGTGTATTGAAATCCCCTGTTTCAATTATATTAATGCTTATTTGATTTTTCATATTCATTAACCTTTGTTTCATATACCTGTGTGCACTTTTTATATGGTATTTGCACAATCTCCTGCTTTTTCATTGACTTCAATCAATCTTATGTTGTTCTTCTTTGAATTATCTTTTTAATTTTAAAAATGAAAGAATGAAAACATATTAACAAACACATACATTTACAGAATGACACAAAAACAATACAAGCAATACAGAATTTCAGACAAGGTGATAGGAAATTAACAATTTTTGTTGTATTACATATTAACATCTTCAAATTGGTTACTCAGATAAATAAATATAGGCATGTAAGAATGATCAAACAATTAAACATTAACTGTTCCTTGCAATAAAGCAATAGAATTCAGTAGTACAACTATCTTAGCTATCCTGTGTCTACATATATGTATCTTCTCCTTCCTTTATTTCTTTTCTCTTTTTCCTCATCCCAGTTGTTTTCTCCTTTTGAGCAGTTTCCTTCCCTTTCACAATATCTATTATACTTCCTAGATTTTGTTCACTTTTTCAGTTTCTTACACTAGTGAGAAAGACGGTGTTTACACAGGCCAGTCAGATTTATTTCACTTATGGTCTCTACTTGTGTCTATTTACCGATAAAAGCCTTGAGTTTATCTTTCTTTATAGCTGACTAATATTCCATTATATAAAAATACCACAACTTTTTCATCCATTCCTCAGTTGATGGGCATTTGTGTTGCTTCCATGATTTAGCTATTACAAATTGTGCTGCTATAAATATGGATGGACATATATTTCTGTGGTATGATGTTTGCAGTCCTTTTGGAAAAATATCGGAAAGGGAAATAGCTGCATTCAATGGGACTTATAGTCTTAGTTTACTGAGTAATCTCTAAACTGATTTCCACAGTGGATTCACCAGTCTACACTCCCACCAACAGTGGAAAAGGGTTCCTTTTCCCCCAAAGCTTCACCAGCATTTGTTATTGGTTGATTTCTTAATGGTAGCCATTCTCTCTGGGGTGAGATGGAATCTCAGTGTTCTTTTAATTTGCATTGCTCGAATGACTAATGATGTTGAATGACTTTTCATATATTTATTTGCCATTTGTATTTCTTAATCTGAGAAATGTGTATTCATCTCAGATGCCCATTTTTGCATTGGATCTTTGAATTTAGGGGGCTTTTTTTTAAATTCTTTATATGTTCTAGATAGAATTCATTTGTCCAAGGGACAGTTGACTAAAAATTTTCCCAATTTCTGGGTTTTCTTTTTACTCTGCTGGTGATTTCTACCATATCAACAGAGCGAAAGACAAAAATCACATAATCATCTCAATAGGTGCAGAGGAAGCTTTTGACAAAGTCTAACATGCATTCATGATTGAAAAAACCCTACAGAAAATAGGAATAGATGGTCTTTGCCTTAATCTGATCAAAGCCATGTATGACAGACCAACAGCCAACATCATACTAAACGAACAAAGACTAAAGCTTTCACTTTAAAATCAGGAACAAGGCAAGGATGTCCAGTGTCACCACTCTTCTCTGAATTATCTAGAAGTTGCTTGATTGATTTCTAGTGGTCCCTTCCTGTTTTTAAGAAATGTTTCTTTTCATCATTTCTAACTGCAATCCTACCTTCTATGTTTGAGATTCTGTCATTACACAGGCTCATTTTGCTGTCAACACTTTTGATGGAATTTTTAATCTCCTGGATATATGTTTGAATCTGTTTTATGGATTCCATTTCTTTCCTATGCTGGGCATTCACAGTTTCCATCATTTTCCTTAGCTACTCTATTTTTTTATCACTAGCTTCTCTAGAGTCACTAAGCATATCTTTCATCATGGTCACCATCTCTTAGCTATCTGAGAAATTACTTCTGATTTGACATTTTCTAGGGTTTAGTTTATTTGCTTTGTTGTTACCACTCCAAAGAGTCCAGGTAGGTGACTTTTGGGTGAGTGACTTTTGGATTGTTTAATTCCTGGGTTGATGCTTGTAAATTGACTATGGTGAGTAGCTTTATTAATACTATTTAAAAGGAGATGACTACTTCTCAGAGGTGTCTTCCAGGTGTAGCTGGCTTTTGTGTTTTGAGTCTTTTGCAAGATCCTTCCTCTTCAATTTATTGTTGCCTACTTGGCCCAACCTTTGGTTCTTTTGCACTGGCCTATAGTCTTTTTTACTAGCCTTAAACAATCACAGTCTTAATACACCAGAAAGAACAACTGATTAGAATACTTATGTCATATTGGCTACAGTGGTACAATCAGCAGTAACTATAGCATCAAATACAGCCTAGAAAAATGACAAACTGACGTCACTATTAATTTGTCACCTTTAACAATATGAACAAGATTTGTGGTTATATAACAAAATCTAAAATGAACCAGAAAATTACATGAAGTAAATAAGCCCTCAATATGCCAATTTTATCCTCAGGGAACAAAATTTAAAAGGGATGGGGGAAAATAGAAGAAAAGGAACAGATTAAAAGCAAGGCTGAAGGACAAATGAGCATCTTTCAAACTTTGGGAAACTGGTTCAGAACACAAGAGGAAAGAGAAAAGGAAGAAATAAAAATAACAACAGAATAGAACAACAACAAAAAATGAGAAAACATGTTAATACTCATACAAAAAACAAGAAAAATAAAGAAAAAAGGAAAAACAAACAAAAAAAGAGAGAAATAAAATAAAGGGGAAAAAAGGCAAAAGTTCACTTCACTGCTGCCACTAGTAGACAATGTAGGCAGACAGAGTCCAGATCCATGTCAACCAATCCCAGCAAGCCAGCAGCAGCTTCTCAGTGGAGTAGTGGATAATCCCAGTGAGCTTGCTACCCTATTTCCACTAAAGTTCAGGATGGCCTCAATAGTCCCTGCACCCCCGTGGTCTTGAACTATTCTGGGAGCCACTAGGAAGAGCCGTAGCCATTCCCAGTCCAAAGCTCAGTTGGCCTCTCTCCAAGACGGCTCCCAACCAATTGCTTGCTTAGAAGTCACAACACGAACAATTCATCACCAGCCACTGCAGACTCCTGAAGTCCCCCACTTCATTCTACTGGTGTGCTTCTCTGGAGGGCTCTGGGGTCAGAGTCAATCAGTCCCTCTTATGCAGTGAGTCTGGGCTCAAGGAGAAAGCTTTGCCTCCCTCGCCCTCCTCCTTCTTCATTGCAGTTTCTCTCTTCACTCTCCTTATGGGCATCAGTTCTAACTTCAGATATTTCCTGGGTCTTGGGGACCCACTTCCTTCCTTCTTATCTTCCTCATTTTGCTATATTCCAGTGTCTGGACTCCAAATCTTGGAGAGGCTCTTTTCTGCTGCTCACCACACCACCATCTTTCTGGAAGTCCCAAAGTCACTGTACTTATGACAACATTTTGGATTCTATTAAATTTGAGAGGCAATGAAAATTAGTGCTCCATTTCAAAGATGAAGTGAGGAATAAAGCAGTTAATAAGTACAGTTAGGTTTATGAGAAATTTTTAAATGAGCTATAACACTGCCTCTTTACTTGTCTTTCAAAAAAAGCATTTCATTATTCAAGTGAGGGTAATGTCCCTCTTAGGATTACCCTCACTTTCATTAGTCAAATTTACAAATATATATATATATAGCCCATTCACTATATATATATATATATATATATATATATATATATATATATATATCCCATTCAACACATTATTAGTAGTAGCCATTTATCAGTTATCATGTTTCCCTCATTGATTGAGATGCATCTCTGTGTCTTGTCAGTAAAATTGGAAACCATTCCTCCAGAATATTGATCGGTTAACCTAACATTGTTTCTTTACTAGCAGCCCTCAAAAATACAAATAGTCAAAAGTTTCTATGTGTTCCATGTTCTGTTACATTTATATTCTTGTGATTAATAAATATGTATTTCTCAAAACAATATTTCTCAGGAGGCAGGCCTCTTGGTGCCAGGGAAGCAGTGCAGTGGGGAGTGCCAGCTTTTGGGCCAGCCCCTAGCAATGCAGGCGCCCCAGGAGGCAGTCCCAAGGAGCCTGGGAAGCCGCACGGTGGGATGCACCAGCCTTTGGGCCAGCCCCTAGCTGTGCAGGCACCCAGAAAATGGGCCCCCAGCACCCGGGAAGCTGCACAGCAGCACACGCTGGCAAGCACTGGCCCTCAGGCCAGCCGCCACCACGCAGTCAAGAACTATCATGGCACAGAGAAGCAATCACACAATTGGCAAGCCACACACCAGCTGCAGAGGCCCGCCCACAGACGTGGGTGAATCATCCCAACATGGAGAAACCCCTGGGAATACATACCACACAATGGGTCACTCTTGCCCCTGCCTTTGAGAACTAGAAAGGCCCAGAGTCAGCAGAGGAGCAACTGCTGAATAAGGACTCGGAGAACATGAGAATACAGACCATGCCTGAGGACTCAGACGTCTAGTTTACTGGGGTCAGGATAGCCATTCAGAAGCTGGAAAACAGAAGGACCTGGCGCAATATCTGGGGAGACCCCCTGGAAGCCATTCTTCCCCTGACAGTACAGGCTGCGGTGGAGGAGCGTGTGGAGCTCCAGAAAGGTCTGCACTGAGCTTCCTGCTGCCTGTGCTGACTACTGGGGAGAAGACACTAAGTGGTTGTGGGGCCCCAATGCGATGGGAAGCTGGAGAGAAAAAGGCTACAAAAAATGGCTTTTGCCCCAGATGGCTCACTTGAGATGTTAGTAAGAATTGCCTCCTCAGTGTTCTATAGCTGTGACGAGGAGGAGGCCAAGGAGAGAAAACAAAGAGACCGAGAAAAAGCAGCTGCTTTTGCTGCAGCACTAAGAGGAATAGACCCTAAGTCTGATTCTCAGGACACCAAGAAGAACTCAACTACTACATTCACCTGCTACCATTGTTAAAAGCCAGGTCACCTCAAGAGGAACTGTCCTAAGAAGCCCCATGGGCCATGCCCTGAATGCAAAGGAGACCACTTGCGATCAGTCTTCCCTCTGAAGCAGAGGCCCCAGAGCTCAGACCCATTCTACCAGTTAGTCCAACAGGAATGAAGGGGCCTGGGGCATACTCTGCCTTCTCCCTCTGGCCAGACTCTCATCTCCATGGAGGAGCCCTGGGTAATCATGACTATAGAGGAAAAAGAAAACAGCCTGTTGCTAGACACAGGTGCAAGTCTCTCGGTCCTTCTTTTCAATCCTGGCCTTCCTTCCAGCCGTCACACCTTAGTGAAAGGAGTCACTGGTGAGGAGGTAATACACTGTTTTTCACAACCCTTAGGCTGTAACTACTTGTCAGATCTTTCTTGCATATCTCTGTCTTCCTGAGAAACCACTTTGAAGATACCACCATGTACAACAGCCATTGATATTTTCCTACTAATCTGTCCAAAACTCTGTAATGTTTGTATTGTTCCTATGATATTTTGTAAATGGATATATGTTTATTATTATGTGTTTCCTACAACAACCATTGAGAATTGTCAATGATTATTCAACTGATCACTCATGTATAGCTCTATTTATTTTCTTTAGCAGCCACTTTGAAGATACCAAAGTATGGTACAACTATTGATAATCTCCTACCACTTTCATCTGTAACTCATTATTATGTTATTTGTCTATTTGTTTTCCTGAGAAACTATCTTGTAGATAACAATACGTAAACAACAACCACTGATAATTTCCTACCACTTTGTCTGTAATTTTGTCAGCCCCCCATTACTATGTTATCCTTCTTTTACTCTTTAAAATAATAAAAAAAAATATTTCTCAAAAATAATATTCTTAAGGCAATGTAGTATCTTGAATTGGATTCTGGCACAACAACAAAGATGTATTAGTGGAATTACTTTGGGAATCTGAATGTACCCTGTGGGTTATATAGAAATATGATAGCAATGTTAGTTTCCTAGTTCTAAGGAATGTACTATGATGATATAAGATGTTAAGGTTAAAGGAATCATGATGTGAAGTGGGTGAAGATTCCATAATATCTTAGCAACTTTTCTAGAAATCAAAGCTTGTTTTAAAATAAACAGTTTTTGAAATATGTCACACCAGCCTCATAGAGACGGTTTTATGAAATTGTCATTACAATAAAAACAAGTTAGTAAGCTTTCATACTCATTCCATATTTACAATCTGAAAATATCATCAGTTAAAACAATGACTAGCAGGATTCCAGCACAGAATCCCACCCTTTAATAAGTAAAGGTGAGTTTGTCGTTGTTTTAGTGTCACTACCTGGCCATGGTGGGGAGTGGAATGAAATGCCAGAGGAGAAAATTGATTTTTCACTCCTTCTGCTGGATAATAATGCCTAGCATCTATCTTTTAAGATCAAGGCCAGGAACTAAGACACAGCCTGGAGGGCAAAAGAAAAAAATCAAAATCAATATTATGCATTATATCCTAGCTACATATGATTCATGCTGAAGTTAATGCTGTACATATAGAATGGAGTTAGTAATATCAACTCAGAATTTTTTCTCAAGATTAGAGTGTGTAATCATTTCCCATGGAGTGAGTTTACATTTCACCCTTCCTGGGAGAGACCTGGTGCTGCTGCATTAAAACGTGTGTGTGTATATGAGTGTTTGTGCGTATTACAGAAGAAATGAAGCCAGAATCAAAGTAAACTACAGGAGATGTGAAAAATGGTTTTGTTTCATGGCTGTATCCATCTAACTGAGAAGGCAAAAGTAGTGATGACAACAGTCTGAATGACAGATATTCATCATTATGTACTTGGGCATTTGTTTAGTAAGTAAACATAGATTAAACACTAACTGTGTACTTAGAGAAAGATATTAAAAGGAAGGATATCCTATTACAGGGCATAAAAATGTACAGAAATGTATACAGAAATAAGGATTTATTTTTTATTTTCTTTATGTAATGCATAATTCTCACTGACATTAGCACCATTTAGCAATAAATAGAGAATGAAATTATACATCATTTCCATGTGTGTCCTATCTTTCACAGACTATGCTCTGTTCAAATACAGTCACATGACTCACAACCTTAATGTGGGCAGCGTGGCATCAGGAAATACTAGCTATGTTTGTGTCAGTCTTGTGTCCTAGAATGATGTCACTCTTCTCAGCATGGCTGCATTTTGGATGAGAAATAATGCATTGACAATGTCCAGATTAAGGTTTAAAAATATTGAGCACTGAATGCACTTTTTGTGTTGAAATTTTAAAAAGAAACCTGTTCTTAATACCACAATGTATAAACTTCTAGAAATATGACTGTACATTCTTACTTTGAAGGGATTATAATGCAAACCTGAAATTTTTAAATCACTGCTAATACCCACATTTACTACATGTGAGGCACTGTGTTGGGTACTTCCTCCCAGTAATACTGTGCTGCAGAGACCATTATTTACATTTTAATTTGTTACCAAGCATTTCCATTGAGACACCAAGCCTTAGTAATATGATGTAAATGACCATATATTAAATAGCTAGTAAGTGGACTTGCGGTTCAAACTAAGGCAGCATGAGACTGGAGACCACACAGATAATCACCTCTGTGAACAATGTGCTTCTCAGTTCAATACTTCAGTTAGATGCAGCATTTCTTTGTCTCTATAAAAACAAAGTTGTTCTCACTACCCAATTTCCTCCCCCTACAAAATATACTTTTACATTGTGTTTGTCCTATTTTTTTAGCTTCCCTTAATAAAGAAGTTTATATTTTTATAGGATGAAAGGCATAAAAGAGAAAGGCACAGAAGAAAATGGGAAGAAGAAGAAACTTCAGAGCTAGATGTTGCTAAAAGGTACAACAAGAAAAAGTGTACAGATAACGTGTGCCAATCTCCATCAATGTAGGGACCTGAAAATACCAAGTCAGTATTGTAAATGTTATATTGGCAAAGGGGACAGAAAAAACCAGCCCCTAGGGCCATGTAGAATAATAAGTATCTGGTGAAGTCAGTTGCACAAAATCTGTAAGAGAAGATAAGTGAAAGCCTTACCGCAAAGAGAAGTCAGAACAGCCAGACTCACTCACTAAGGCAGAGATTGGCCCTAGGGTATATGAGCATACTAATGTCCCAGGAGGCAAACATAAGCTCCATGTTCTGGGCTGGGTAGGAGTACCTTCTCCTGGACACCTCATGCTGCAGTTATGCTTTGATAGCTAAGAGTTTTTGGTTTCAGCATGCTCTATAGGTAGCAACATGTACAGATGTTCAAGTCCATTTTATAAAATGTTGTAGTATTTTTATATAACCTACATACATCTTCTTCTATGCTTTAAATCATCACTAAATTACTTGTAATAGTTTATGTCTGAGTTATGCAAATTGGTAATATACTATGTTGTTTAGAGAATAATATCAAGGGGGAGAAAATATGTACATGTTAAAGATAAAGGTATTTTTTTTCTCCAAATATTTTTAATCAACTATGATCCAGCCAGAGGATGCCAAATCTGTGGATTCAGAGGACTGAGTCTACTTGCAAAATTAGGATCTTGATACTTGACTGCATGCTTTGATGACTGTATGGTTGGTCCCACTCTACACTGCCCCAGGTCACAAGCAGGGACACAAGCTGCCTCCAGGGAAGAAGAGATATTAATCACAAATTAGTCAAAGTAATTTCAGAAGAAATGCTATTACTGTGATTTGGATCTGGACTGGCCCCTAAAAGCTTATCATGTTTTGTTTTGTTTTGTTTTTTTTTTTTGTACTGGAAATTGAACCCAGGTCCCTGTGCTTGCCAGGCAGGCACTTATGCTGCTGAGCTATCTCCCCAGCCCTGCTAAAAGCTATGTGTTGAAAGTTTTTCCCCAGTGTGGCATTATTGGTAGACTGTGAAACTTTTGTGTGTGTGTGTATGTGTGTGTGAGGAATAGAACTCAGGACCTTGCATTGCCAGGCAGGCGCTTACGCCACTGAGCTATATCCCCAGCTCCAACTATGAAACTTTTAAGATCTGGGGCATAGTGGGAAATCTCCCTGTCACTGGGTGTGTGTCTCTGATGGGGATTATGGGACCCCATTTCTCGGTCTTAGTCACTCTTCATTCTGCCCATAATGTTAACAAGTTGTCTGAGTAACGCTGCCTGTCTCACCGCAGTCCCCAAAGCACCAGTGCCAAATGCACACATATTGAAATTGCCAAACCTGGGAGTGAAAATAAACTTTGGCTCCTTATAAACTGATTGTCTCAGTTACTTGTTACAGTAATGGAAAACTATCAGCAATGAAAGGGAAAAGAATGCTTTCTGGAGAGGCCATTCCAGCAGGGTTTGCAGCTGTGAGCCTCATCTCCAGAGCTCACCGTTGTGGTCCAACCGATATTTCACATCACGGAGCAACAGTTGTCTTTCCCCTCTCCTGCCCAGGCTTATGTAATAAAGGTGCTCACTATTAAACAAATATAAAATATAATTATTACACCATCCAGAATCATTGAGAAATGATTACATAAATTTGAAAGATTTCTCACTTTACAACTCTCCTTTTCTTCCATAAAGTAAGTGTGGTGAACTGGGACTACGAACTGCCTATCCACCACGCTCACACCTGCCTTTACAGATGGAGGCACTAGTTGTGATATTCAGCGGTGGAGCCTTTAGGGGGTTATTTGCCCATTGGGGTGGAACTAATAAGACGAGCTCAGTGACATTATAGAAAGAGACAGGAGAGAATTTGCTTCCCCTCCATCCTTTCTGCCAAGAGAGGATACAAAGAAAAAACAACATTCTACAAACCACAAAACTGCTGGTCAGCAGAAATGAGATCCCTGAGCATACTGACCCTGGATGTCCATCTCCAGAAGGCTGAGAAATAGATGCTCACGATTTTAGCCATCCAGGCTATGGCATCCTTTTATAGCAGCCTAAAATGATTAAGACAGCAGGCAACCTGTGCTTGTGCACCTCTCCAGGCTACCGTGCCTACCAAGGCAAAGGCTGGTAATTCCCAGCATTGCTAAAGGCATTATGGGAAAACAGGTCCCTTCCCCTTAAAAATATGGGTTCCTTCTGAAAATGTTTTGAGTTTTGGTATGTTCTTTGTGACATTTTCCATGAAAGTACCAAAAATAAAAAATAAAACAAGCTGAAGAAAGGGAAAATGTAGTTCCAGTGCAACATAGACCCTCTCTGTCCCACAGCTCTTATTTATAGCAGCATTTGGTTGAAATCCCCTAAGTTGCTTCTCCTTCCGTGAAACTGCTTGTGAGAAGAACTCCAGGGAGAGGCTCCCAGGCACCTCAGAGCTGGCTGGGAGATCTGCACAAACAACTCCTGTTGGTGTCAAAGCCCCCATCTGGGTACCCAGTGTGGATACATCCTCTGTCTATCCGCCTAGGCTGGATATGAATGTGTGGAATTTGGAACACACATGTCAACATTTCCTATCTGAGGGAAAGGACAGCCTGTGGGATGTGACGATGATGGTGCGTGTGTGTGTGTGTGTGTGTGTGTGTGTATTTGTGTTCAGGCAAGATGAAAGAACAAAAATCCTAGTCAGTTATATCCAAATGATTTTGTCCTTCCATTACATTATCTGGATGTAGGTGCCTGTCATTTGTTAATAGAGTGCTTTGTTATTATTGCTATGATTTCAACTAGGATACACTGCACTTAAGTTCACTTAAATTCATTTCTTTTGGAATCCTATCCCACGATTAAGAATGAACAAAGGTCTTCAGAATCATGCAGACAAGGGCTCAGGTACTGAGCCTTTCCTGTTGTCAGTCAAGCCACAAGGCTTAGTGAACACCTACTATGTGTCAGGCTGGAAATCCACAGCTGTGCAAGTCTGGCTCTCAGGTACTGACTCTGCAAAGGGAGAAACAGCCCACCTGGGTAAAGGTGCACCTGAGGGGGGAGGTGGAGTCCAGAGCTCTGGAGAAAAGAGAGCTGGATTGAGCAGGGAAGATTTTGAGGCGATGACCCTTGAACAGATACCTGAAGAATTCAAAGGGGCCACACAGAACTGAGGGAGGCAGCGCTGAGTGTAAGTACTGGTGCCGGGAAGGGAAGTTCGTGAGAAGGGTGAAGAGGCCGATGAGGATGAGGAGAGGGAACAAGGAGTGCAAGGGGAAGTTAGGCCATCTTGATAACTCTCCTTCTGCTTTAATTTTCAACTAAATATAGGAATAATAGCAATGCATGATTGGTGGTATTTTAAGAGCTACAGCCAACATTTCTAAAAAGTTTATTTCATGCCCAATTCTACATAGAAGAGTCAGCTAGCTTGCAGTCGTACCCCTCTTCTGTGCCCCAGGGTCCTGGCCATGAACTGCACTTGCCAAGCTCCCTGCCTCCCCATGGCCCCCTGAGTGGCCCCAGTAGAGGCTCGAAGACAGAGCTGGGCTATTTCCTCCTACTTCTCTCCTACACTGGTGCTGCACTTCTGGCAGTAGCTGCACTTGCCCTAGAATATAGCCTCTCCCAGGAAGTCCTTCTTCCACGCTTCCAGCTCTCTTGGACTCTTTCCACGTTCTTGCCTCTGTTTGCCAGTCTGTCTTGTGGACAGCAACTGCTCTCCACCATTGTTGCCTACTTCAGGGCAGCACCATCCCTCAAGTGTTTGTTGGATTTGTTTCTTAGGCTCTCACCATCACCTTTATAGTAGTGTCGTTACAGTCTCTTCATTTGGGGGAGTTGACAAAAAGTAGAACTAGCCTATGCATTAGGTCAAATGCTTATCATTTTCTTTCTGCAGTGAGAACACTGGAAATCTGCACTTCAGTGATTTTTTTCTTTTTTCTTTTAAAGAGAATAAAAGAACCAATAAAAATGATACAGAATTTCAGAACAAGGTGATAGGAAATTAACAATGGTTATTATATTGCCTATCATTATCTTCAAAGTAGTTGCTCAGATTACCAGATACAGACATGCAAAGTGTGCAATACATTGTTATTCACCAGCCACTGTGTAGCCCAGCAGATATGCATGACTGCAACTAGAGCCAGCCCACGCACTCCAGGACAACTTCCTCCTTACAGAATCCTTAACTTCATGCACTTTGCCATCCAAGGGCTGGTTCACAGGTTCTGGAGATTAGCATATAAAGCTGAATTTTGAGGGTTTGCCTTCCAACCCACTGTCCATGCATCTTGTCCTATTTTTAGCCATCTTCATAGTCCACAGCCCTCTCTCATGTTCCAGCCTGCGCCTTTGTGCCTCCCCTTACATTTTAAACCTTTTACCCTGCCCAGATTGAGGTGTTAGAATGCTTCTGTCCATTTTTTTTTCTTCAATTATTCTAAGTCTGAGCAATTCCTTAGTATAACCCCAGGAAAATTTCTCCTGTTTTAAATATTTAATTATTTACTTATAATAGTACAGTGCTGGCAAATAAAATCAGGGCCTTTTCACTGAACTGCACCCTCAATCTTTTTTTTTTTTTTAGGATAAGAGCTCACTCACTAATCAGTAAATTACTTAGCTTGGATTTAAACTTGGAATCCTCTTACCTCAGTCTTCTAGATTGCTGGGGTTCATCTTCCTATTTCTTGATCCCAAATTGCTTTGCTTAGTAATACAAAAGGTATTCAAGATGTTTCTAGAATTTTCTAGTAAAAGAAAAAGCCTAGAGTATTATTTTATTACTACATCACCTGGAAAGTTAGAAGCATGGGGGAATCAGGGACTCTACAGCATCCCTTTATATTAACACCACTGAATATGAATATCTCACTGTATATACTACAGATCTTCGGCATAAGCTTTATTCAGGTGAAGTTCTGCAGATTCATCAGACCCAAGTTTTATATGATGAATTTTTATACATTTCATTGTAATAAAGAAAGAAAACTTCCTAAATGTGCATACATCTTTTCTGAAGTACCTACCTAATAGTCCTCATTTATTTTAAATCACTTGATTAGAGATTTGGATACTCTAGTATAGAGAAGAGAGTGATCTATTTTTTTGCATTTCTTGTTCCCCCTCCAAGGTAAAGGACACAGTTCAACTAAGGACATTTGCAAAGCTCCACTTCCATGTCCAGTAAGTGAAGGAAAGTGTCTGTCTCTCTCTCAGCTAGAAAGCTTTCATTCCACATTGACCTCTGCCTCCACGCTTTATGTCAGACTGACAAATGATGCTTTCCTTGATCAAAATGCTTTTATAAAAGTTCAAAATATTACATTGTACTCAAATTGATTTTTAAAAAAATACCTACCATCTTTAGACCAGCATTTGTAAATTACTTTAGCTTTTCTTCAAGAATTCAGAGGAGACTAAGATTGCTTGTTTCTTCTCATCTGACTTCATTTCAGACTCATGTTGTGCACAGCAGGGGTAAGGAGGCACCATAAAAGAGGAAGGGAAAATAAACCAGATGATCAGTCAGATGGCTGGGGTGGTGGTATTTGTTTTCCTTTAACCTAGTAATCCAGGTGCTAATTATTGTGCCAACCTGCCTACAGGTGGCACAAAGATAAACTGTGATCAAAGCCTAACACTGTGAATTTTAATAAATAAAAGTTATTTGTTCACAAGTTTCTTCAGGATTTCAGTCCTGGCTCTATAATGAACATTTCTAATTGTTTCTAGTGTGACATTGTCTTTTATAATTTCTGTTGAATATGCCCTCCACTTTTTCCATTTAGTTTTGTCTGTTCATCTATTCCCGGTACCACCTGTTATAAGAACTGCTACTTCTCCAGACCCCAGAAAATTGTATTCCCTGTGCAAATTTTTAAAATAACATCTCTGTAAATGCTACAGCTTCCATCAAACTGCTGGTAGCCTTCTGGGCTTAAGACACTGTCATGGTAATTTCTCTACAGAAAACGGGTTTTGAACTAAGTAATTCGGAGGGCTAATCTTGATTTGGCTTTTGCTGCAGAAGTTGCAGCCCTAGGGAAGTAATTTCATTCCTACGTTTAAAACTGCAATTATTGTATCTGCCGCTTGCCTTCAGGACATAAAATTACTAGATAAATCCACTCAGTTATGGACCTACTCACACTTGGGAAATGTAGAAAGTGCTAACATTTATTTTAAATTGCTGTCTGCCTTGGCCAGCCAGGACTGGCAGGTTTTCTCCTTGGACTGCCAGAGGAGATCCAGGCAGGAGCAGCTACACCCTACACAGGCTTAAACTCTCCAAGGACCCTTTGTCCAACTGGGAAATGGAGGAAGACATACATGCATTTGGGAGCAAACTAGTCCAGAAAAGCAGATGGTAAATTCTAAGAGCAGGATCTTAGCTTTCAAGCAGTGCTGTGCTGGTCCAAGATCACTGTTCCCTGACTGACGCAGTATTCCTTCACTCAGGGCAGATATTTGCAGTCTTGAGTTGGGAGACAATACAAGGGTGAGGTCGGGGCTTACTTCAAATGCACGAAGTAACTTTTGTGTACTATTTCCAATGTCCGAAATTTTCAGAGGTCAATATTGACTTTCCTTAAGCAATATTTAATTTCAGAAATGGACTCTTGTTACCCGTCACCTCTCCAGTGCCAAGGGAAGTATCTGAAATATAGTGAAAGTTTAAAAAAAAAAAACATTCATACATACGTTATATATTTATTGAATATGTGCTATGCAAAAAATATTTCACTAATTCCTGGAATATAATAGTAAAGTTAGCCAGAAAGAAAAGGCCAGAATCATTGTCCTTTTGGGGCTTATATTTTAGTTCACAAGGGTATGAAGATATATATTAAAGCTTACTTCTGGGGGCTGGGGATTTAGCTCAGCGGCAAAAGCGCCTGCCTGGCAAGCGCAAGGTCGTGAGTTCAGTTCCTGGTACCAGAGAAAAACCAAAAAAAAAAAAAAAAAAAAAAAGCTTACTTCTGATTTTGGAGCCGTCCTGCATGTCACTGAGACTTCCAACTTTTACTGTGCACAATTAGGCAAATTACCTAACCATTTTTGCGTCGCATTGTTTCAGAAAGAAAATAGAGATAGTAATAATTCTTACCTCATTGTCGGTGGCAAAGATTACTAATATATGATTTAACAAACATATAACTCATATTACATAATAATAATTAGAACATAAGCTGACACACAATGCACGTTCATATCACGTATCACTGTTGTTCATTTCATTGTCAAGTCATACATCTGGTATCCTCATGTTAGGGATAAAGTCTCTTACCTGCTTTCCTACCAGCAGATGACATAACTTTGTCTGGAAATCAATAAAAAAAAAAAAATGCAAATCTGCAGCAAATCTATAATGTCCCTGTTCTCATACAGTATATGTTTTAATAGAGAAACACAGGTAAGACACAAGTAGCAAAATGTAAAGTGATAGTTCTATGAAGAAAAATAAATTAGGTTAAAGTGACAGATAAAATTCTCACCTCAGAGGGAATGACCAAGAAGACTTCTCCAGGAGAACAGCATTTAATCTGCCCTGAAACAAACTAAGGAGGGAGGCATCTGCACAGAGCAGAACAGCCCAGAAAAGCCAAATTCTAAGGCTTCACTGGTACAAGGAACAAGAGCAAGAAGTCCATTTTTCCAAAGAGAACAGGATGTATTTGAGGAAATTGTAGTGTGAAACTAATTTCTAAAAAGCATTTGCAGGCTAGGATTAGTTTATGCTTCAGCAGGGACTGTGCAATAAATGCACTTTAATTATTGCTAGAATGTAATTTTCCAAAAAGTAAAATCCTTACTTCCACACAAGTGTAAAATGAGTCCTTGTCAGAGATTTTATTTTAGTCTTTAATTAATGAGAAAATCAGTGAAATATAAGATCAGTTTAAAGAACATTTGTAGATCCAGATATTTATAGTCAATTTAATTAGAGAGAATAGGATAAGATTGCTAAAGTAGATACAAAATTGGCTATTGTACTACAGGCAGTAAACCTTTACTTAGGGATAAAACTTTCTTACCAGACAAAAATTACTTGCATTTCTGCTGGGCAAAAAAAATCTGTTAACATATAGGTTCACTAAATTGAGAACTTGAGTTAAAGATAAAGAGGGTTTTCGAAGGGTCTCTTCTATATCACATTGAAATGTTATGTATCTTACGTTTTGCCTTATTTCAAAGTTTTGAATAATTTTTCTAAACATAATTTAACTTTTAAGGGCCAGGGATGTAGTTCAGATGTGCAAGCACCTGCCTGGCAAGTGCAAGGTCCTGAGTTTGATTCCCAGTACAAAAAATAAATAAATAAATAAATTAATTAATTAGCTTGTAGAAAAATGGTTTTGAAGGAATAATGACATATATGCATGTCTGCTTAGCATATGCTACTGTATGCCCTCTATACAGATCCAGAAAATTGGGGCTGGGGATTTAGCTCAGCGGCACAGGGCCTGCCTAGCAAAGGCAAGGTCGTGAGTTTGATTTCCAGTACCGGAAAACAAACAAACAAACAAAAAAAGATCCAGGAAACTGAACTTCCGTATTCACGAATCTCAGACAAATAAAATTCTCTTTCTCCCCCAATAAATCTTTTGTTCCAATTGTCTCTTTTGTTTTGTTAAGCAAGTTTGAGTTGGGATCTTTATTCTTTTACTATAACCACCGTCCTTGCTATTAACAAATCAGACCTCAGGGGAACAGCTCCTTGAGTTCATTGTGTTCCAGAATTTAACCAGGTTCTTAGTAAAAACAATTCACTTCTTATTCCAAAGACATTACTTTGGCCAGTAGTTTTTTATGTGTAAGGCTAATTAATTCTACACGGATCTGTCCATGCCTTAGAGATCCAGATTCCCTGTAGAGAATGTACATTGGAATTTTGCACTTCTAGCGAGGGATTTCCAAGGTCCTAGTTCTTCCCAGCTGCGTAAAGGAGGTATAGAGAATGTAAGTGAGCTAAACATTTGTACACATCTTAATCTTTTAAATGGGAGAACATTTCCCTCCCAACTGGTAGCATCCACATTGCTGCTGTTACCTTGATTTTAATGCAAACATGAGGAAAGAAAACCATTTCCCAGCTTTTTCTTGTCAGGGTCTGATGGGGTCACAAGTCCTCAGCGTCTTTTATCATGTCACTGAAAACACTTCCTTTCTCCTTGTCTTCCTTTGCTTCATCAGATGCCTGCCTCATAGTTCATTGTCTGGATATTTAAAAGATGAGGCTCATAAGGAAACAATTACCCTCTCATGACAAGGCAGTGGGTGGGAACTTTTGCACTATTAAAAATGAGAGTACGCATTAACAATTACTCAATATGAATTGAAATGCGTGTTTATTAATCTGTATCCCCCACAAAGACCTATAAGCTTCTGTGAAATACCCAAATGGAAGATAATAACTAGCTTCAGCAGCACAATAAATTCCATCACAGGAGAAACTCTAACTGTTCTCTTTTTGCACATCTATTCTGTGAAACCCAGGGCTAGATTTGTGCCCTGCAGCAAAATAGCTGATCCTGAGGCAACATTATAAGCTGGGCCTATTTCTTTGACCAGGCTGCTCTGTGAAGTCATTTGCAATCCATTTTCTTTTAATTGGAAACAAATTAGTACTGTCTGGAGGGAACAATGTGAACATTGAACCAATCTTTTGGTGGAGCGCACCACAAACAGTACAAGCGATTTTTTTTTTAACACTTCCCTTCTAGCTACAACTTTCGAGCCTCCTATTATTTTATGTGGCCTCTAGGGTTCCACTCCAAGCAAGCCATTAATGCTAATGTGAAAATCTTGCAATGTTTGGAATAAATTAAGCACATGCTCTACTCTAATTATTTTACAGGTATTACCGCTTTGCTGGCTAGGTTGTAAGCAGGAAGCCAACTGGAAACTTTTTTAATCATCTGGTAGACATTAAGCTGAATGGATCCCTTTCTGTGCCCGTTGCTTAAAGACTGTTTAGTAAACAGACTGCACACAGCTAACTGCTCTAACTTCTCTTTGAAATGAGTACATAAATAAAAGGCCACCACCGCTGTGCATATTTCCACTTGCAAAGCTTCTAACCACAGGGTCGTGCCATCATTAAATGTGTGGGCTGCAGGAGTGACTGTGGAAGGACAAATGTCAATTAGTGCCCATGGGACAGAGGATGAGTCAGCTACCTACAGTCTGCAGGAACTCCATGATGACTTTATAGCTTCTCTAATTCAAAGGTTATTTTCAAAAGGAAGTTGGGGTTAGGTAAGAGATCAAAGCTTTCATTTACTTAAAGCTGAGTTCTTCAAGAGATTACTCCTGAGACCCCTTGCATCAGAATTACCAAAAGTCCCTGTTAGACATTCAGATTCCTAAACTTAACCCCTACTCCTGATCTCCTGAATCATAATCACTGGATACGGACCCGAGAATATGAATTTGTAAGTATTTCTGGGTTACTCTGATTCACTAGGGTGATCAGAGTCTGATACACTCTCTTCACTGTT